GCCTGACTTATTACACTTAGCGTAATACCCTCTAGGTCCATCTGAGTTGTTGCAGATGGCAAGATTTCATTTTTTTTAAATGGATGAGTAATATTCCATTGTTTATATGCACCACATCTTCTTTATCCATTCATCTATTGATGGATACTTAGGTTGCTTCCGTATCTTGGCTATTGTAAATAATGCTGCAATGAACATATGGATACATGTATCTTTTTTAATTAGTGTTTTGGATTTCTTTGACCAAATACCCAGAAGTAGAATTACTGGGTCTTTATTTGTCTTTTGTTATAGCCTTTGTTTTAAAGTCTATTTTGTCTGATGTAAGTATTGCTATTCCTGCTTTTTTTTTTCCATTTCCATTTTCATGAAATATCCTTTTCCATCCCTTTACTTTCAGTCTGTGTGTCTTTCAATCTGAAGTGAGTCTTTTGTAGGCAGCATATGTAAGGGTCTTGTTTTTTATCCATTCAGCCACCATATGTCTTTTGATTGCGTTTAATTTATGTTTAAAGTAATTGTTGATAGATATGTAGTTATTGCCATTTTATTCATATTTTTAAAATATTTTTTTACCTTCTTAAAGAAGTCCCTTTAACATTTTTTGTAATACTGGTTTGGTGGTGTTGAACTCCTTTAGCTTTTTCTTGTCTGGGAAGCTCTTTATCTGTCCTTCAATTCTAAATGATAGCTTTGCTGGGTAGAGTAGTCTTGATTGTAGTTTCTTACTTTTCATCACTTTGAGTATTTCCTGCCAATCCTTTGAATATTTCCTGCCAATCCCTTTTGGCCTGTGAAGTCTCTGTTGAGAAATTAGCTTAGTCTTATGGGAGCTCCCTTGTAGGTAACTAACTGCTATTCTCTTGCTGCTTTTTAAGATTCTTTTGGCATTTTAATTATGATGTGTCTTGGTGTGGGTCTTTTTGGGTTCATCTTGTTTGGGATGCTGTGTGCTTCCTGGGCTTGTCTATTTCCTTCCAGGTTAGGGAAGTTTTCCATCATTATTTTTGCAAATAGATTTTCAATTCCTTGCTCTCTCTCTTCTTCTGGTAACCCTATGATGTGGGTGTTGGTATGCTTAATGTCCCAGAGGCCCTTTAAACTGTCCTCATTTTTTTTGGATTAT